GGGTTAATAACAACAACAACCTTTATTCGCCTTTATCATATTTAACATTAACATTTTTTCAATACCATCTTAACTAGGCAGGGAGATCTTAAGCAAGCTCTTTGAGCTTGTACAAGTAGGATCTCCCTACTCTTTAACTTCATGTATATCTAATATAGTTTTTACCCCCACCATATGTCGATCATCTTTGGAGACCCAGGGGCAGTTAGTCAGGGTGATAGAATGTTCGTGGCGAAGGTTTACTGTAAGATGCTCGTCTTGTTCTTACAGTAAACTTTCACCACGAACATTCTATCATCCCGACCGACTGTCCCCTCGGCCCTGGGTCTACGAGGATGCCATATGACATGTTATGATGTTTTGCTGTGGTGTCTGAGGTGCCTTCTCAATATTGTCAACGTTTGCAAAAGTATAGCCAGTTTAATGTAGAGAAAAATTATTAAAGGTGTTTTTTTTTTTTCTCATGCCTGGTACTTGTACTTTAGGTGAAGGATAGGACTGAGAGGAGCCATTTCAGTAGGCTTGAATACCAGCTGCTGTTCGGGAAATGAGCCCGTGCTCCTCCCCCAAAGAGACAATCTCTTTTCAGGTCCCGAAGACCGAGGGGGGCGGCAGATATCGAGCCTACCATTTCAGTAGCAAAACTAAAAAGACAATATGAATCTTTATTTTTCACCATAGATTATTAACCTTGCAAGCAAGCTCTCCATTTGGGGGATGTTGCAAGAAGTGACGGCGTGCGTAGCAGGCTAACTCATAGGGCCCTCGTAGATAGGCTCATACTCGGTATAAAAAACCTGTGAAACTCAGGAATGACGTACTACAATTACTGCAAAGAAGCCACTGAGAAGTCTACCCAATAGAACCAAGGAAAAAAGCTAGAAAACAAAGAAAACTTCACAGGTTACCAAGGATGACTCCATTATATGTAGCACTGAAGTATTAAGAATTATATGAATATAACAATTATATGTACCATCTCGAAATTCGGGGAGGGGTGTAAAGTCTCCTATCGCACCCGTTTTAAAGTTCCTGCAAGCATTTGTTATCATCTCAGAGTGATTCCATTGAGTTATGTATACAGGAACCTATTGCACCGGCTATATAATATTAGGTGAAGCTTATTGCAATATTATTTTTTGTTCCAGGAAAATCCTAAAGGTAACATTTTTTCCACAAATGGTAACAAAGGTTTCCAGCTAGCACTTATTTCCTCGAATGAATTAAATATTGATTATTTGATTTAAGTGGCACGATGTTGTTTTCATTATGACATCATTGAACAAATTTTGATGAATTCTTACCCATTGTGGTAATTTGTTATGGCTGGTAGTCATTCACAGTCACTCAAGGGTAACTCATGTGTACTTTTAGAAACTGTCCTGCAAGACCCTAAGAACAATAAAACTCATAAAAGTGGGTCATTCCATAGGGCAAAGAGTAGCCTGTGTACAGCCGCCCCTCCCCTCAAAAAAATTTTGAGGGGAGGGGCGGCTGTACACAGGCTAGGCAAAGAGATGGAGAGAAACTTGCGGTAGTTTTTGAGTTGCTGGTGGGGTACTCTTGCAAAATTTGGATGGAGATGCATGGCATGCATTCAAAAACCTTGACCCTATTTTAAATCTATCATGTGATTTTTTGTACCCTGTACTTTCACACCTGAGCTGATCTTCTTTGAAAGAGGCATATCTGACCCAACTCCAGACCCTGACTAGAACGCAAAAAAGCGTTACTCTACGTCAGATCCAAACATTTAAAATCCATACTCAGTTTAAAAGCATAAGGGCTAAAAACTAAACCCTTTTAGGTCGCAGATACCAATTTAGTAAAAGGCAGTACCCTCCCCCAGTTCAGGAGACAATATCCTGTTGAATAAGGGACCGGTCATTATTTATGTGAGGGGGTGGGGGGGAAAAATCATGGGGTGGGCCAGGCCTATTTTTTTTAGAGAAAAGGGGTGGGTCATTGTGTGTGTTTTGTAAAGAATCACACTCACTACAATTCATGTGGAAGATCTAAATAAATTCTAATGCAATGCTGGACATAAAATATAACACAACTGGATGTCATATCTAGCAATCCAATCTAAGTATGGAGATTCAAAGATGTGGGCACTAAATATCAATAAATAAACAGAAGCCCTTATTGAGAAGGCTTGCATGCTTCCTGTTCTTAATATAACTGTCTGGGAACTTTTACTACCTGAAGCGTGAACACCTAAAAATCATTATTAGTTTCAATAATGGATTATTGAATTCCTTATTCAATTTAGTGAAATCAAATTTTTCCAATTTTCAAATCAAAAATAGTTTGAAAATTCGTTTTTTTTATTGAATTACTATTTTTTGTTTAAAGGAGCAAATTTTTTTAAACTGGTTTTGATTTGAATATTGCAAAACTTATTTTTTCAATAATCGATTAATGAAATCAATAATGATGTCTAGGTGTTCACGCGTCAGGTAGTTTGACTGTAGAGGTATAGATTGAAGGGGGATGGGGTTGGGTCACCTCTTATATAAAGTTATATGGGGGTGGGTCAAGAGATAACTAATGGGCTTAAAGGGGTGGGTCACGTTTTTTCTTTCATGCAAAAACAAAAAAAATCCCCCCCACTCCCCCACATAAATAATGACCGGTCCCTAACTGATAAATTATTGAAAAAAAAACAAAACTTTGAGGGATAACTAATCCTGCAGATCCTTCATCAAACACGGATTCTTACAACTATCGCAATCACCTTAGTCGTTGTCCGCCACATTTTCTCCATTTTTCCAAAATCCCCTTCCAAACTGCAGTCCAATCCCAGAGGTCCAATCCTGATTTTACCGCAAGTTTTGCATGATGAAAACTGGGCACTAATAAGGGCTCAGTTTTCGCGCTTTTCGCTGAAAACAAATTTTACATAGCACATAATTTCGACGGAAAGTGCGGTGTGGTTGTTTGTCTTCAGGACCGCAACAAAAACATCCCAACAGTCTCTACAAATTGACAGCTTCGTTTTGAAGTTTTTGAATTCTTTGTTTTGTTTAGAGGAATTCATTTGTCGTTGTTTTCACTGGCTTACCCTCTTTCATTCGGCGACATCATGTGTGGTATTTTGTCCGTCACCGATCAAAGTAAATGATCGTATTAAGAAAGCAATACAGATAACAATTGACCTATCAATGGATCTGGAAGAACTGTCGAACTTTTGGGCAAGGTTTCAGATTGCCTTTTCATGGGATTACCCCGAAGGACTTGATGTACAGACTGTACAATCGGCGGTCTTTCACGTAGTAGGCGATGGCGAAACCAGGTAAGCTGTTTATCATTGACGAACCTATTTTGTATACTTATTAATGTCGTTAACGTTTAAATCATGTGAATTTTGTAACGGCAACGAAGGTTAATCGTCTCAGTTTGAATCAAGGTCTCGTTATATTGAGATCGGTCGCTAAATTAGTATGGGGCTTTTCAGAGCATATATTGATGTATAAAAAAATACCTATTTCCTGTGGGGAGGAAATTGTTCGCGCGAGAATTTACTGCTTATGTAGCGGGCCACAAAAACAGTTCATTGAATTAATCCCTAGCGTGTTTAAATAAACATACTGTCACAATGAGAGATCGGTTTGTCTTCAATAAAGCGCTTTGAGATTTAGCTTCTCTCCCGTGTTAGTAGATCGTAGAACGTCGTTCTTTATTATTTCCTTATAGCATTTTTCTCATTCAAACCAAGGAACTAATGTTTTGCAAGCATCAGGGGGTCACATATAATTTCTTCTTTCTTGTCACGCGATTTCGCGAGATAATGGTCTTGCTAGCCTCAGAGTTTTTCCTAAATGCCTCTTGGTAGATTCACTATAAGTGCTTTGACCATTAAGTTTCCAGACAAACCCCTGTTCCAATTATCTGCTTGTCAAATTCTCTTGCACATGCACATGTTAATTTTACTGTTTGAAATGATAATTAGGTTCCTATTTTTAACTTTCTCAAAATAATTTGTTTCTGGTATCATTTTCAAAATATTCTATAAAATAAAATGTAATAGCTAGATGGTCATTTTTGTTATGCATGAGATTTTCATATCCATGAGTCTTGGTTGTAACTGATGTCACATTTTTTCCCAAACGAATATTTTTTGAGTAAATGTTATTCTCTGGATACTTAGGTAAACATCAACAAAAGCATTTGTAATGCCTTTTCAATAAGCACATTGTGTGTATGTGTTCTCATTAACTAGATTCATTTATTATGCAAATAGTCACTTGTGAAAAGTCTTTGATTTATTATTTTGAGTTAATTTATAGCAGGGTTGTCAGAAATTTTTGAAGTAGTCGGCTGATTTGTCAAAGTAAGCGGCCAGTCAAGAGATATTTTACTTAAAAAACACCGTCCACAAAGAAATGCCAAGCAGAGTAGCCAGCCGATTCTAACCAAGTAGGCAGCGATTTTCACGGGCAGCTGGCTACTTTTGACAACCCTGAATAGAGGTTGCCAAATGATAGTTTGGTTGAGCTGAGAAGGTTTTATGATTACAAATTTCCATTTTTATAAATTTGAAGCTTACATAAATATTTATGGCTAATAATTATTAACAGATGTAACAGGTAACTGATTTGGAAATCTTACAATACTGCCCAAGAAATATGCTACAGGACATTATTATGATATACAGTGGCAGTTGTGTGTCTTCAAAATGGATCTTGCATAATTTGGGCACCCTTTGGCGAACTATTGGTCAACTCAATACTTGGTTGACATGACGGCCAACTCTCAGTCAACATCCTAGCGGGGGTACTCCAGATTTCAAGTAATGGGGATAATCAAATGGGGGCAAAAATCACAACCCAAAAATCCCTAGGGCTTTTAACAAAACCCCAAAAAATCCCTGAACAAAAATTAACCCTCAAAAATTCCCATGCTGAATTTCTGAGCCTTAAAATTTTTCAGAAAACATTAAAATAATGATGTAACACGAAAAGTAAATTAGAAACTGAATGTTTGTGTTTGCAGCTGGGATACGCGGGCACTACCACAAATTAAATCTTTAGATTGTTTTGAATACACCAAAAAATCCCTACTTAAATCAAGCCACCCAAAAAAATGCTTGCCAAATGAGGGAAATGCTTTTTCCACCCCCCCAAAATTCCGGAATCAAAAATTTCAAACCCAAATCAAAGAAAGACTTTTGTCAACTCGTGNTTTTAGGAAATGATAGAAATTCATATTATAAATATAATATCCTTGTTCTGAAAACACTGTTTTTTCTGTTTGTTGCACTTTAGTAACAGTTATTTAAGTATATATTTAAAAACAAACAAAAAAAAAACAGCAAAACAAATAAGCAAACAAGACAAAACAAAAAAGAAAAAAAGGAAGAAGGGAAAAAGAAGGTCCTTACCAGGATTTGAACCCAGTACCTTCGGTTTGACCCTACCTCACATAGCCACTACGCCATTGAGGATGGTCACAAGTTTTGTTGAAAAGTCTCAAATTTAATGCCTTTTCCATGGAACTTCCGCTGGCAAACAACCGAGCCATAAAAACGACTCGAAGCAATGGGATGAAATTAAGGCTAATTGAAACCAGGCTACTGACAGTAAAGTAAAAAACAATGTAAACGCATTTCATGGCAATGAAAGAACATGTGCGATACAAAGCCGACACAACTCCTCCGCGAAGTAGGACGCAAAACATTAGCTTATGTTTTCTTATCTCGATTTCCGCTGTTATTTTAAAAAGGTAATGCTCAAACTCACATCCATTTCCCCCCCTGATCTTGGGGAGTCCTTAAGAAGAAGAAGAAGAAGAAGAAAAAGAAGAAGAAGAAGAAGAAGTGCCTTTATTTACCATACATTTCACCAGACCGTATTTTATAGTCCGTATTTTAAACCCAGTCCGCAGTCCGTAGTCCGCAGTCCGTGTTTTATACTGACCGCCATAAATTCATTCATACACATAACCTACTACACTACAACAAGGTAGGAGATCAAGCCAGCGTCGAAGTTGCAGGAGTCGAAGAGCAAATGCTCATCTTCTTGTCAAGTTTAACGCCTGGACGGGTCAAAGGCTTTTAAATCGTACTAATTTGAAAGATTTCTGCCTGTCTTAAGTTTGGTAAGACCTCTATCCTAACCGTGCTGTAGCGCACAATGCACGCTCGCAGCGAGGAATTTGATGCTACCGAACTTCGGCGAGCGTGTGCTTCTTTGAAAACGATAGATCTTCACGCTCTCGAGTTCGGACCCGATTAATTACGAAGTGTGTCTACTACAAGTGAGTGAGTGACTCATTTGCATATCTCAGTCCCTGCAATAACTCGTGGTACGCTCGTTCAACACTGGGTGCAAAAAAATTCAAAACTGAACAAAACTAAGCTGACATCATTTCTGACACCGACAACAATGAAGATGAACTCGAAATATTGTAACTTCGCCTTAGCTTTTGTGAAAGATGAAAAATAAAGGGTAAATGGAAAGGAAGAAAACAAATGGAAAGAAAGAAAGCTTGTAGTTAATGTTTTTTAGGTGTCAAGAATGGCTGGACAGGTTCCAAAATTGGGGTTAAAATACCGGAAATTAAGAGCGCGGAAATTAACGCTGCACTTAATTAACGTCGCGGAAATTAACGCTCAACAAAATTAACGCGACTTAAATTAACACGAATTTTAACGATTCGCCTTAATTTCATGGAGCGTTAATTTCCTATAATAAGGTATGTTTTCCGACACATGGCTGGTGTTGGTCTACTAGAAGTCAACCAATATGTCGGCCAACACCCTTTTTTTCCGGTATTATTTCAATTTATATGTGGAACACTCCTTTAAGATATAGTGGAATCTTGATGGTTATTAAGCAGATGTTGGACTGTGTACACTTGAGTTTTACAACCTATTTTGCATGATGATTGTTCAATATCGATCCTCTGCTGTTTTGGATACCTTTTTTGCCCTGGTCAGGCTGACCACTGAGCATTATTTTTTTAGTAGTGGTATTTAATTTGGGTTTATTGATTATCTATTTTTGATGTACATGTAGACACTTAAACATATTTTTGGATCAGATATAATTTACCAAGTACTGCAGAATAAATGCTGTAGTTCATCGTTTTACCTCCAGAGCCCAGGATCAGCTTGTTGTTGGGTGTGTCCAGTCTGCAGGCGCAGGTGTGACTCTTACACGACCAAGATCAGACTCTGACATCATTCCTTGTGAAATGAGCTTCACTGCACATCCTATGGCTCAGGAGTTCTATATCAAGAACATTGTTATTGTCTCTGAAGCAAGAAATGTTGAGTTGTACATTGATGACAACTATGAAAGAACAGCAAAGGGAATAATGCTTACTATTAGAAAAGGAAGGTAATGTGGACTTATCATTGTGCTGTCCAACCCTTTTGTAATAAGGTTATAATCCTTTAAAACCCTAATCATTGCATTTCTTATTACAAGGATAATTTTCTATCTAATGATTAAGGGATTTTTTTATGATTATTACTTTCATCCAAATTTTA